TATGAAATTCATTCCATAGACTATGAAATCTTTTAATTAATAGTTGAAATGATAAAATGAGAAGGAATTATTCCGTATGAACGGAAATATACGTACGTAAACATGGATACACGAATATAGGTACTTGGATATAGACACGTAGTTTAATGGCTTAAAAATATATATTAAATATAAAAAGTAATAAATTAGAATGTTTAATTAGTTGTTATCAGCAACAGTTGTAAGCTATCCGAGGTATGCGAACAATATTATTTTTGTTCTTAGTTTTGCATATCTTTTGATATTTGCTTTTATTTTCTAAAAAAAATGACGATAGTTTGTTATCACTGCTAGCTTATTACTTACGTAAAAGATAGGTAATGACAGGAAGTGATTATAATGTTAAAAAAGGCATTAATTAAAGTGATAATGAAATCATAATATCGCTATTCTAATGATAGTAAATTAGCAATTATTAATTTTAATGGAAAAAACAAAGATAATAAGGAAATTTGTTTGGAACTGATAAATGGATAATTTAATTAACAGTAAAAGTAAGATAGTAAGATATGAAGCGATGATATATTTATTAAGATAATTAGTGTAAAGATAAAATATTTCATAAGATCAGCTATGAGAAAGGTATGTTTAATTAAGCAAACAGTTTATAAAGTTGCTAATTGAATTTGCAAAAATTCAATTTGGAAATAAATTGTAGACAAACAAAATTTCAGCTTTATTTTGAAGCTAAAAGTTTTAATGAATAAAATGCAGATTGAAAGAAATGATAGTAATTAGGATAACTTTTGATCTATCTTCAATTAAGTAATTAGGGTAACCTTCAATCTACAATTAAAACTTTAATCGATAAGATCGTATGAAATTGACAATGTTCGTATTTTTCACAACTATTAAAATTTAACCTATTTCAGAACAGTTTTTACTCGAAATTTGAACTAAATTTATTTGTTCCAACTTTATTTATTCCAAGTTTTTTGCAAGTAAATATTGCAGTGACAATTTATTCTATAACAGTGTTGATTGAAATAGAAAGTAAATAAAATGAAAACTGTCATTTCTGAGTTTATTGTGACAACTTAATGGTGTAAAATTTATACACACCAGCAGATGAACCTCATTCCTCATAAAATAATATAAATAATGGAAAGAACCATTGTATCTTCACAAACAAATTATTTCATTTCATTCTAATTGTTACACTTTTATTTCAAAGATTCCAATATTCAAAATAGAGCACTTTCACTTCAACAATACCATTAACATATTTTCAATTACAATTACAATCAGTTTGAAATTAGAAAATTGCTTGTCAACGATTTTTTTTCAGTAATTTTTGTCATTTGAAAGAAAAAATTAAGCGTGCTTTGAAGAAAGACATTTGTAAATTATATCAATAAGAAAAATTGTGTCAGTAAAAAAAAAATTGTAATATTTGCTCGAATAAACAAAAGTGCAATAGAGAGAATGTTGTAGGATATATAATGGAATGAAATTGTTGATACATTAATGAAATCACTGGATAGTTTAATTTTTAAAAAAGGAAAATATGAATTATCATTTTAAAAGAAACGAAAAAAAAACTTCATGAAAATTGGAAATTCTTTCCAATGACGAGTATTTTATACAGAAATGCAATTAAATTTGAAAATATATAAAATGTTCAATCAAAAACTTATGCAATATGTGAAAATGAAATGTGAAAAAAAATAGAATTGAAGATAAATGTGAGCCATAATTATTCCATCCCAAATAAATTAGTGTTATGGTGCGGCAAAAGTAAATCTCAGTATTGCGTAATATTGTTAAACGAAACTTTCCATATTCTAACTTTCAATAGCACTAAACTGGCAGATAGCCATTTGTTATTACTAAATTTTGCTTACTTCAAACTGAGCAATATAGCGCACTTTCGCCCTTTAAAAAGTTAGCTAAATGCTATTCATATTTAATTCTATCAAAATGATTTTAAAATATATTCAATCATTGCACTCCATTCTTTTATGCCAAGAGGAGATAAATTAGTTACAGCGAATGAATAATCGGAATTGAGCTCGAGATTTGCTAGAATGCATCATTTGATAGTTTCATTAAGTACAGAGAGATCAAGAAGTTCAAAAAAAAAAGAATCGAATTCTTTTGCTGGGTTATTACAATCATAAATAAACTTTAGCCTTTTTTTTTCTCGGGAAGCTGAGAAAATACAACAATTCCCATTGTAGCCATTTTTTAATCAGTGATGAGTGTTTTTTGTTTGGATAAATATTACAAATCGCATATGTGAATTTTTTATTTTCAATGATTTAAAGTGTTTTTTTTTTAATAATTGATTTTGAAATTTTTTCTGTTTCCAAATGATTGAATGGTAAAATCATTTATTTTAACAGTATTTTGGCATCTTACAAATAGTGCTCTGAAAATTTTTTTGTGTCAATTTCATAAATTTATTTCGAACAAAATTTGATAAGAAATTTTATGCAAAGAGAGAGAGAGAGAGAGAGAGAGAGAGAGAGAAAGAGAGAGAGAGAGAGAGAGAGAGAGAGAGAGAAAGCGAGATGTAAAATAAAAAGGTTTAATTAAGACGTACAATAAATTGTTTCATCAAATCTTAAAAAATAAAGCAGTTAAGAAAATAATATGGTTTTGAAAAGTGTAATGTATTTTAAAAAATTCAACAAATAGGATGGAAAGAGACGGAAAAAAACAATTGGAAATAATTTGTATGCTCCAAAAGAGCGTTTTAGAAGAGAATATTTCAGTTAGTTTTCTTTTACACTTACAAAAATTAATGGTAGTTGTTAGGGAAAATTTCTTTCTGAGGAAAAGATAGGATTGAATCCAAAGATGAATTGAAATCCGGAACATATGAAGTTTGTCAATTCTACAAGGTAAAAGGTATGTTTTATATCTTTCGGTAAGTGTTTTTCTATTAATGATATTTCAAGGAGTCTTTTAAATTTTACTTCCAATCATTTTTTAAAAATTATTTTTTCTCTTTTATATTATTCGTATTCAATTTTTAAATCGCATTTTTTCTTAATATAAAATTTCTAATTTACTTGAAGTTGGTATAAAAATTTTATCGTCGTTACGAATATTTCTATTTTACTCCCATTAGTAATATCTATCGTTATAACCAAGAAAGCTATCTTATTAGGATTAATGATGTTTCCGTACAAAATTACTTTTCCGTAAGCAAATAAACTGAATAATATGCTAGGATTTTAAATTCTCAAGTTTTACAAGAAAATGACTGTTAATAGCGAACAGAAAATGAACTTATCATTGGATATGAAAATGATCAAAACTAATTTATTACTGAACATGACATGAAAGTGGTCAAAATTGGGCTCATCACTGGTCATGGAACTGATTGAAAGTAATTTAAGCAACCAAATTGCCGTTAAATGTCCGCTTGTTATTGCAGAAGCAGCTATAGGCTTAGTATATTGTGCCAAAACTGCCAATGAATGATTGATGTGAAAGCAGTGATTGAGGAAGAAAGGAATGTATTGACTTTTATCAGTTTTACTTATCGATGTTTTATATTCGTCTGATTTCTTGCACAATTTAACTTTATTTTATTTGTTTATAAATAAAAGACAACTACGGAAATCGTTATTTTACTTGCAATGATTCATCTCTAAATTAGGCATGTTAGCGAAAGCCGAAAGATGAGATGAACTGTGTAAAGGATTAAACGATCGTTGGTTAATCATTAGCTTTATTAGCTGTATGCTTGTATGGTTAATCATCGGCTTTATCAACTGAAATCAACGGGATTATTCGCCTCATCTATCACTGATTTGCTCTACCGTGACCTCTCTGTTCGAATAAAGAACTGTCTGCTACATCACCGAGTACCGCCCAATAAAGGCACGGTATATATAGTGTGGTCAGTCCTACCATCCACATTAACAGTCAAGTCTCACAGTCCAACATTCTTCTGCTTTGTGATTGCTTGTTGCAATTCAATTCCTATCCAAACTTAGAAACAATTATTTCAATCTCGATAATCAATAAATTTTCGTTACTATAATTGTCATATTGTATTAATCTCCCACGAAGAATAAATCTTTATTATAATTTTTGTCTGTGAATAAAAACTCAATCAAGAAATCTTTCACACAGAGCAATAGCAATTTGATTTCCAATTTTTCATTTTGGAAATGTGTGCGGAGAAAGTGAACGATAAATGACGAATGTAAAATAAGCTCATGTTAAGCTTATAGTTTCAATCAATATATGTTCAAAGAAATCGTATAATTTATTTCTTTTAAAGATGAAATTGCACGGATTAAATTTGTATTTTATTGGGAATTTTTGACTGAAATTTTGTTTTATTTTGTGTCCTCAATTTCTGTTTGGTACCATTAATCCGGTATTGATATTGCGGTTATGCGTCCGTATTACTCCGTTTTGGTCAACAATCCTGCTGCACATCATTTCATTCAGATTGAATTGATCAGAAAATTTCATTCGATTTGGTCAAAATTTTTACCGGTTTTTTTTGAACAGATAAGATCTGACATCTCAGATTTCTTTTATTTTGTCATATACCTTGGAATTTAATTAAATGTTATGGTGTGCTCAATTTTCTCGTGCATCTTGACCCCAAATTGTAGATTTGTAAATTAAATGTAAAATTCCACTTTAATAAGAATTATCATACGTATAGCGATGCACGATAACGTTACTTTTATGTATTTCTTTAATATTATATAGGTTTTTAAAGCTTATTGATATGAGCTTAAAAACTCTTGAAAATGGAAAGCTATAAATAAATTTTGAATTGATTTTCTGAAAAAGTTTGCAAGACCTACTTATTTTTTAATTAATGATGACAGAGAAATGATGAAACGAAATTTTATACAAGAATTAATAAAGTACCAACGATTGAATGAATCGCTTCTCACTCACAAAAAAAGCTAAATTGTAAAAATTAAATTGAAAAAGTTAGGGAAATAAGTGAATGAGATCACTGAGCATGCAAATGAATACAGTTAACCAAGAAATTTATGCAAAAATCCTTGGGCAAATTCACCACCAATAATACTATTCACTTGATTCAGTACTTGTATAGGATCCTGGAAAGAAAAAATGATTTTACAAAAAAAAGTGCAAAAAAAGAAGTGTGAAACGTATAAAATGAAGGGAAATCTTTTCGTTCACAATAAGCACTTTATGGGTTATGGGGGTTAGGTATTTTGTTGAAATAATATGTGGAAGGATCAGAAACGAATAAAATTACTGAATACCTGATCAATAACACCTGAAAATTCTTCACATCGTTGAATTGCCCTTTGCATTTCCATGCCGACTTGCAACGATCCTAAAATATCGCATTCACTGATCACTTTCCTCAATTGACCACAATGCTGTCGTTCCGCACCACGTTTACATGTTTCTTTTCTTTAAAAAAAACAAAAAAAAACAAAATTCAAATTCAAATAAAATTTGTCAATTAACACAAAATTGTTTATATCATAAGATTAAAATTAACAAAGGGAAAATTGGATAGCTTTTTTTAACGAATAACAATTATTCCATTATATATAATTGCTATGAATAAATTGAATTTGTTTTAAATTTTCATAATTCACAAATGATCATATTGATCAGTTTTTCTGCTAACGTTATTATAACAAAAAGCAACCAATCAATAACATTAGGTAGTTTATGTGTGGATTCACTTTACTTAATGTATTATAGTTTCATTTTCTGTTTTCAAATTTGAAAGATTTGAATGTTTGTGCAACTATCAACACAAATCTGCACACTCACGAAGCGCCGATGAAATCAATTTTACCACCGAAAAGAGCATTGGTAATTTGACTACCCCAAAGATCCCATGCCTTTTCGTCTGCTACCTTTACACAATTCCCGTATGCTATTCGCATGAATTCGCTCAAGAACGGTAGACATCCTAGAATAAATATTTAAATCAAACCTGTTTGTAATCATTCAACAAATTTCTTTCATTTCTAATTAGGAACATTAATTTTACATTATTCAAAAAATTTTTAAAAAGCACCAAATACATTAATTAAAAAAGAAAAAAAAATTTTTCTGTCAGAAACATTAATTAAAAATTAAAGATATAAAACAGGAGGGATAATTTATAACAATCAGAAATGTATTAATTTAGTAAAATAAAATGAAACATTCCAAATGAGCATTTTATACAGCATTATATTTTGGAGAACAAAAATATTGCTTTAAAATGATCATTGACAAATAATTAAGGGTGTTGACGAACCTTCACCCTTCGGTATGCCAAAATTACTTTTTGCGCCAGGTGCTAATTCTCGAATGGTCGGTAACCAATTGATATCTGCATCTTTTGTATGTATTTGCGTTTTCGCTCCAAAAGCTGTTGATGATTTACCAGGTCTTGAAGATCCTAAAAATGCATCTGCGATATCCATCAGTGATTTGGTACCATCACTCGATGCAACATCATAAGCGCTTCTCTGCTTCTGTCCTGATATTAGACCGCGATTTTCAATGGCAGAAATTTCAGCAAGCTTAGTAATAGCTGGCGAAATAGCATTTGTTATAGATTGTCCGATCATTTCAGAAGGTCGAGAATTGAGCGATATAGGTCCCGGTTCCGGATGGCCAGGCCTTGTTCTAAAATAGCGTTTTTTTTGTACTTTGACATGGAAGGATATACATCTCATAAATTCTAAAATTAAATAATGATCATTTCTTAACTTTATCATTTCAGCCAGAATTGCTCGTATCAAACTTAATAATTAATTAGAAAGCAATTAATTAGAGATTTCTATCATTGATTAGATAAGAATGAAATCATACAGCGCGTCTATATTAGCTGCAGCGGAATGCTTTGCAGCTGAAGCAACAATTTCTGTTGCCATTTGCGTTAACCGTCCAATGTTATCATTTGATAGAAAGTTCAATAATGGATTACCACTATTACTCTGTAAAAATATCAATTGTGATAAGTACGAGATTAGCGCATAAGTGATAAATTTCCGTAGCGGAGTTACTTCCCACACCGAGACATTCACGAGTGCAATTCAGGGATCAGATGATGCAGGAACAGAACTGTATTTGAATATTATTTATTATTTGGAGCACAGTAATGAACAGATTTATTTTGTAATAAATTTGCCAGGAATTCAGATATGTCACTTTCAGCAACCCTATTTCTATTGATAGATTGTGGAATTCCTAAATCAGGAAAACAACACACTAATCCACTTCCGATTCCATTAATTAACTGATATCTTTAAAAACTAATGGTAACAACAACAAAAACAACAATATCAGCAACAACAACAAAGTAACAACAAAATAACAGCAACAATAACAACAATGACAACAATAACAACAACAACAATAACAACAACCAACAATAACAACAACAACAATAATAACAACAACAATAA